ATGTGTTCACAGAAAGTACGATGACAGTCAAATGACGTTAAGATAAACTGCATAATGTTTTTATGAGTGCATTTATCTGTGTATGAATAATATTTTTCCACAACTAAACTGATAACTCTAACTTTTTTATTCATAGAATGGTTAAACTGAATATGCTAAATGAAATGTAATATTTAAGTTATTATATAAACATATTTCTTTTTTGATACCAAAACAAACACATACAGCATTCAGTTCTATTAATACCTGCCCACCAGCGGCCGAGCGGTAAAGTCGCTGAACACTGGTAGTTTGGTCCGAGGTTCGAATCCCGCGAACGGGCTGACTGCATGGGCGTTTTCGTGGTTTTCCCCATGTGTAACGTGTATACGAGCCAGTTTCCCTTAGAAAGTCCTCCACGAAGGCATCCCTCCCTTCAGGCGCATAGCCCTCGAGGCTTTGCCATAATCGCACACACCACACCACCTATTAATATCTAGAATTTATACTTCTCTGAAATAAAAAATGAGGATGACAATCCAGAAAGTGACTACATGTTTCATTTCGTTATTATTTTAATAAATTAAACAATACATAAGTAAAATAAATATAGAAACCTAAAAGATAAAATTATAAATATACAATATTAATAACAAAACATAATAGATTACATGCAACTATTCTTTTAATATCTTTTACTCATTTTTTATATAAAAAGTTGACATCTTCTATCTGAATACTTTTGGAAATTTTTATTTTTTAATTTTGCTAGAAAGTAAAATTCAAAGAATTTAAAGAATTAAGATTTAAATTAAAATTAAGTTTAAATTTTTGTATAGAATTACATAATGCAGCTGCAGATTTTAAAGAGTCTGCTGATTAAGTATTACACTTCCTTTCAGTTATAGCTTGAATAGTTCATTTGTTTATGTTTCTTGTTGCTGCTTTACATCAAGAAATTACAAACAAGTTTTAGAATCTAGCGACTTATAATTTTATGCAATTTCCTTTTTTTTAATCTATTAAAATTAATCATATATTACAGGAAAAGCTCATGCGAGTTCATCTGAAAAAAAAAAAAAAAAAAAAAGCCACAAGTAAACTAAGATTTCTAAATGAAACAAGTACTGCAGAAACAATTGGACCGAAAGTAGGCTTTAGAAAAATAAAATTAATTTAAATTTCAGCCAAATTAGATTCCAAACATTAGGGACAAGTTTGTAGAGCTTTATAGAATAAATATTCTTAATTTGAATTTCTTCTATATCGCTACTCTAAAATTAGATGTGCTGGAAACCTATGGAAGACCGTTAGTGAAGAGGAACAAGATTAAATAAATAAATAAAATGACTATTAAAATCATTTATCATTTAAAAATTAAATATTTAATTATTATAAAATTAATAAATAATTATTTAATTAATATTAGCAAGTAATATTTATTAATTATTATCTAATCGTTAATTAATAGTTGATTATTATTCATTAAACTAATTCAATAAAATGTAAAGAGGTAAATTAACATTTAATAAACGATTTTTAATATAATTTTATTGCTGCTAGAAATTTTTTGAGATTAATTTTTACTGAAATTGTAGTTCCGTTAATTACATAAAAGTGCCGGAGCCTCTTATGTAGGGCTCCGATGCCTCCGGCTAGAATTATCATTTATCCTGAAAAATCCGGAACCGCACTTAGATCGATAACTAATTCCTTGTGTGTGGCAAATTACTATACCTACAAGTCGCACAGAAGTACTACCGCTCCTCGCCCACGTGGAGGTGGCACTGCACTTCTTGTCAAACGCTGCATTCCCCATTATCACGTGAACATTCCACAGCTCTCAGCCGTAGAGGCCACAGCTATCTGCATCACAACAGACACTAACACTCCATACACTTTTGTCTCCACCTACATTCCTCCCATGAGACCTGTGGCTGTCGTTCAGGCAGACCTTGAAATTCTACTCACACTTGGTACACATGTTATTATTGGTGGAGACTTGAACGCAAGACACCGCGCATGGAACTGCTACACACTTCTAATGCAACAGGCAGACTGATTTATTCCTTGGCCGCGTCGGCACGGTTTAAATTGGCAGTTCCAAGTACCCCAACACGGTATGCTGCTGCTGGGTCCACCGCAATTATTGATTTTTTCCTGTTGCGGAACACCAGTTCTCCACTGGATATTTCCGTACTGGACGAACTTTCAAGTGATCACAATCCTGTTAGGATTATTCTGGACCTCAGCAGATATACTACATCAGACACCAGGGCCTTTCGTACAGACTGGCAGGTCTTTGCCAAAGCCCTCTCCAACACCCAGTACACTTTACCCACGATACACAAGGGGAGTGACATTGATAGTTTGGTCAAGGACCTCACTGAAAATATACAAAATGCTTATGCGAAAGCACAAGTTGAAGTTAAACCTGGTATGAAACACAAGCCTCAAGAGCTCAGATTATTGATTAAAGAGAGAAATGCTGCAAGACGAGCGTATCAACGTACCAGACACCGTGATGATAAAAGGAACTTCAATCGCCTGTGCGAAGCGGTCAAGTTTCTTACACAAATAAACTCTCACAAGATCGCTGGACTAACTACCTCAGATCTCTTTCTGTGCAGAGGAACTCCTTATGGAAAGCAGTGAAGAGGTACAAAAAATGCTATAACGCCATTCCGCCCCTTCACGGCCCTCAACGGATCCATTACACCGGAACTGAGAAAGCAGAACTTTTAGCTCAGCATCTGGAATCTCAGTTCTGCATTAACAACATTTCAGACTCAGACACTGAACAGCTTATTGCTGACTTCCACTCCAATTTTACAACACAGCCATGCACAGACAACATTATCTCAGCCATGCCATCGGAGGTCTGTCTCTATATCATGCGAATTGCGAAAAGGAAGAGCCCTGGAGTAGACGGGTCACAAATGAGATGATCAAGCACTTCCCTGTCAAGATAATACTCTACTTCACCAAGTTAGTGAATATCATACTACGATGGCAATACTTTCCCAACCTTGTTGGAAAACTGCCAAGATTGTCCCTCTGCTAAAGCCCAACAAGCCTGCGACTGCTCCTGAGAGTTACCGACCAATCAGTTTGCTAAGCTCAATTAGCAAAATCGTGGAAGCAGTTATTCTACATAGACTAAACATCTTCCTGGATGAGCAGAAGATCCTCATACCCTATCAGTTTGGGTTCAGGCGTAAGCACTCGACAACGCATCAACTCTACAGAGTTGTTGAGTTAATAAGCAGTGGGATGCAACAACATCGTGTCACTGGTGGACTTTTCTTAGATGTCGCCAAAGCCTTCGATAGAGTATGGCTGGATGCTCTCATATACAAATTACTCAACCTGGGACTCCCAGGCTACATCACAAACATAATTAAATCCTACCTAACCGGGAGACACTTTGTCGTTCATGTTTTGGTTCATTATCCACAAACCGGGCTATACGGGCTGGTGTTCCACAGGGATCCCTTCTGGGCCCTACCCTATTCAATATTCACGTGAACGACATCCCCACTACACACAACACAACACAACACAACACAACACAACACTAGCCATGTATGCAGACGACACAGCGATCCTTACGCAAAGTGCATTTGTTAGTTCAGCAATACAACAGCTACAACACCACATCCACTCGCTAGAGACTTGGCTGACCAAATAGAAAGTCAAAGTGAATGTCGACAAGACACATGCCATACTATTTACTACTAAGAAGAATTTCCCGACTCACCTGCAAATGTATGGTGTGGACATTCCCTGGGTCAAGCAGGTCCCTTATCTTGGGGTGATCCTCAGTAAATCTCTTACATGGAACCCACACGTTACACATATTCTCAGGAAGTTTCGAGCTAGTAAAGCTTCACTCTTCCCCTTAATTGCTCGAAACAGTGTTCTATCTATTGATAATAAGTTGCTCATTTACAAAACCATGTTGCGTCCAATTCTTAGTTATGCATGCCCCGTCTGGGCATACTCGTGCAAAAGTTTGAGAAGGCAGTTACAAGCTGCCCAAAACGGGGTATTGCGTATGATATGTAATGCCCCCTGGTACATTCGGAATAGCCAAATTCGTAAAGAGTTAAGAATAGAGGATCTTTGTGATTTTTATTGCCGCCGCCTATCTAGGGCATTTTATGATAAACAGGAACTTCTGGACAATCCTGTGGTTGTTAACTATTGTTATGATACTAGGGACCCCAATTTCAGTAAACGCGCCCAAGGGCGATCCTAAATGTTAGTAATGTGTAATTTTGTATATGTGTTATGCAAATTGTTGCTCAGATTCTTTATTGTATATTGTTCTTTTTTCCTCCTGATTGCTTTTGTTTTTACTAGTGGCACTAAGACATCGCACTTCGTATTTTGTTTCTCTTGTGTGTACATGTATTCTTCTGTGAAATAGTTGTTAAAAAATAGTTAATTATGTATGGATTAGTAATTAGGTACTTAAGGAAAATTAACTATTAGGAATTATGTATTTAAACTCTTACTCATTTAATTATTTAGCACATTCAGTTATATTTCTCATAATTCGAAACTTTTATCATGTTATTCGATGAGGGGTAGGGCTATGGCGCCCAGGCACCCTGGTGGTTAAGCACCGCAGTTCAATGTATAAACTACATATTTTCCAATTCTTGTGAAATGTGGGTTTCCAGTCTGTTGAAGCTAAATGAGTAACGGTATCAACCTGAATCTGAATAAATTCTGTAAGGAATTTGGAAGATTTGGTGAACAATAAATTACTGAAAGAACTTTTCGTAATTAAAACTTATTCTATACAGTAAACAATATTTTAGGTAGTTAAGTTTCAACTCCAAATATTAGAATTTTTACTTTTCCGATGAAAAACAGAAAATATTTCAAAAGGAAATACGAAACTACTATTAGGAGATGCTACAGCGAACTTCAGTGACGTCACAGCCGAACGAGTCGCTGTCTTTTCGTTTGTTTACTCCAAGTGAGCTAACCTGTTCTTTCTACCTTGATTCTTGAGGTCTAGTCGCTTGTATAGTGAGCTGTTTTTTCCCCTTTCTCCTTCCGAAACCGGCGCAATGATCAAAAGCGATTGTTAGGGGTCTCTAGACGCTTGTATCTTTTACGAGCAACGGGTTTTGAGTGTTTTCAATTGAAATGAATAGTTGGATGTGAGATTGAATGGAATGAATTTAGTAAGCGGAACTCAAACATATAGATAAGGTAAAAAAAAAAAAAAAAAAACTTTAATCCTTGGAATTTTTTTTGTTTCTTTTTTGTATCAAAATTAACTTGTGACACTGGTAGGGGTGAAAGATCATGCCTATTTTAAGTACTTTATATATAGAACGTTTCATTTATATAAATTTTGAAATGTCTTTCTAGACATCAGAATAAGAGTTTATCTTAAAAATAAAAATTTTGTTTTTTCTCAGTTTCATTACATGTATTAAAAAAATTTGTCACCTCTTTTAAGATACTATTTATTGTACGGATTATTATGTTCAACCAATTTCTCATCACCGTTTAGAAATGATTTCGTTGAACTTGATATTTTTATTTTATCCGATATTGAAATGTCTAAAATCGAAATTTTCTAGATATAGTAATTTATAGTTATTTCTAGTTATAAATTTTCCATATTCTCTAATTATGTACCTGTCTAAAATTAGCCAAACATAACTGAACCAACCACTCTTACTTAAAATACTTTTATACAATAAGTTTTATTCCAAATGACGTAGCGTTTCAACTGATCATGGTTCTGAGTATAAATTCTGCGTGATAAAGTATGCAAAACAATTGCAATATATGAAGTCATTTTGTGATCAGCTATATTATTAATTCAATTTGTATATAATGAATGTAATAGGGAAATACATATTTCTGTTTATTAAAAAAAAAAAAAAAAACCTGTTTCCCAGTATATAAAGTGTTGATGGAATTAATAGATTTATATTTTTATTGCTGGAGATTTAATTCATATTTTGTGTTTTTATGCTTACACACGAGAGCATGACAAGCTTTTATCTTAATAAACTAATATTAGTTTTTTGTATATTATGAGCAACTGAAAAATTGCAAAATATCAACTTTAGCACTACTAGCTGTTTTTAGAGATTGCTTCTATTTTTTCTGTGTGACAAAATAAACAAATTATACCTTTCCATAAAAGTTGTCATGTATCATAATTACTTTTTATATTTATTTTCTACTTTGCCATCAGTTTTACTTGAAATTAATATTTAAAAGTTGAACTCAGTGTTGCTGTGTGTGTACAAGTAGGACTTTTATGCTTAACTTATTGCAACATGGTCGTGTACATTGGCTTAGTATGTAGCTCTCTCACCATAAATAATTAATATATATTTTACTACCATCATAGTTATTTATGGAATTCATAACATGTAGTGTAGCTGAAGGTTCCTACTGTCATAAAGGGCAGTCAAAAAGTTCTGAAAATTTCTTTGAAACTCTAGTCAGGTGTGGTGATCAGTTGATGCGATATCGAAGTTCGGCGAACATCAAGTTCATGTGCAGATTGGAGAAATCTGCTTCAGAGAGCCTTACAAAATGTGTACAGGGACGGTTCTCTGAAGAAAACAGGGTACTTACGTATTAACGCCATTGCAGCAGAAGTTGCATTTATGTGCCAATAAAGAGCAATCCTGTTGGTTAATCTTCTGATTATGGTAACTTGGCGATTTTTTGGCGACCAACCCTGCTACAGTAACCTGCTAGTTTTAGTTTTTTTTTTGACATTATTTTGTTTTCACGAAGTAAAGGCATGTTTTTTTTTTTCCTAAACTCAAAATTTTTTTCCAACAATCTGCTAGCCAAATTATGCTTATGCTAGAACTTTTATGGAACAAAAGTGCTTAATCATGACGAAGATTAGGTGCACAATTGGTAGAAAGTGCAGAATCGCCCACTGCTTGCCGTGTTTTTAAGAATTGCACATATGCGGTATCATCCATGTACACGTCGACCTATTTTCACTTAAAAAAACATCACAGAATTGCACAAAAAAGCATTGCGCACACTCTTGACTTTATCCATGTACACTGCTAAAGTCCTAGCTAGTAACCTTTATCGCCTTACCAAAATGTCGCCAAACTACCTATTACCATATTCCAAAGATTAGCCATCCTGTTATATCTTGCAAAAGCATGTTTCAATGTCCATCCAAACAGAAAGTGGAATTGCTGCAAAAAATTGATAAAGGCATGAAGAAAGTGACAGAGAGGTTAGTGAAAACGAAAAAATTTCGATTGACAAGTTAGTCGGTATTCTCGGCACAGCAATTACAGGACTTGCGCAGCGAAACTTTGTAACTGAACAAGAAATTATGTCTGTTTATAGAATTAAAGAGAAAGTATTAGCACATAAAATGAAGCAACTTAAACAACTTACACTGAAAGAAATGTTTAATAAATTAAACAAATAAATATTAAGCTTTTTTTTTTTGTAAATTTTGATACCCTTTAGATCATAATTGCTCTTTATTTCATAAATTACGTTTTCATATTTTTAATTTTATATTTTCTGCATGCCATCTTACCAAATTTTAATTGATGATCTGTAATCCAGAAAAACCCCTAATCCGGAATCACCGAAGTCCCGACGAGTAAAGACTTTGTACTGTCTTTTGCTTTCATCACCGTATGTTTATCAATACATGACAGCTTCAGTAATAACTCATGCTTTGATGTCTAAACCTTTTTTTATATTAGTAATTGAATAACAAGAGTATGGCAACCTTTTATGCTAACATTACAGATTTTTAAATGCTCTAAGAAATGTTGACAAAGAAAAATTCAACAAAAACTTCTTTTCATATGCTAAAAGTAGATTTTATTAATGAAACTCATAGGCCAAAAGACTACGTTTAGTGTTATTTTAATTAAGAATAACTGATATGTTATTCACCGTAAACCCAGAAGCGGCGGCAGAATTTAGAGAAAACAAAGTTTTTGGAATTTGGGGAAACACCGAGCGACAAAATTAAGGGATGAGAAATATTTATGATTTAGGGAAAGCACTGGGATCCAAAGTTAGGCACGGTGAAAATTTAGAACTTAGGAAAGCGCTTTGTAGCAGAATTTAGAACCCGTAGAGACTGCACCAGGCGGTATCGAGCACCGGCCCTAGATAAAGCCTTAAGTATATGTGGGAGTTTATTTATTTAGGACTCGGATTAGTTTGAAGGATATGCAAGAAATAAATGTAGGTATAGTAAATAACTAAACTAATACAATTCAGACTTAATTCAGTATGCAATAGAAGCAAGACAAAATTTAGCAAAACAACTTGGCTTTTGTCGCTAATCTCGTGATACACAGCCAATAATGTATAACGGACACTATTAAGTTAGGTTAAAATTATCTTTACTGATTCTAAGGCTTTTCAATAATTGTAGCAAACTGCGCTGCTCCCCGATCTTCTAATTTGATCCAGCTTATTATTTTTTGCAGACTATTATTATTATGGCAATTTTATAAAAACTAAGCTTGAACTTTTGATTATGACGAAAAGAGTTTCCAATTCTGGAGTTTCCAAAGAATCTACAAAGCGAAAAATGTTTCGATGTTCATTAAACAAAAAGTGGAATTACTGCAAAAAATGGATGAAGCCATATCCGTCTCAAAATTATGCGAGGAGTATGGCGTAGGAAAGTCCGCTGTATATGACACAAGAAAAAAGAAAAAGGAACTGTTTAAATTTTTTGTGGAAGCATCTTAAACAACTTGCATTGAAAGAAATGTTTAATAAAGTAAACAAATATTAAGCTTTCTTTTGTAAATTTTGATACCCTTTAGATCATAATTGTTCTTTATTTCATAAATTACGGTTTCATATTTTTAATTGTATCATTTCTGCATGCAATCTTACCAGATTTAAATTGATGATCTATTATCCGAAAGAATTTGGAATCGCCGAAGTCCCGACCAGTCCAGATTTCGGACACTATATGTAGAAGGGAGAAAGTGAGTTTGTAAATGGTAGGTAGCTATTAGACAACTTTAAATTTGATACTTCTTTTACGTATGCCATTTTCTTCCACTTGGAACTTAACTTGGCTGTTTGAAATGAAACTTATACCCAAAATTACTCATGAGAAAAAGTGCGGTATTTGAATGACCCATGTAATGTCTGTAACTGCATTTTAGTGATGTAATTTTAGTAAGAAAAGTGTGGACATTACGTGAGTGTATACGGTATACAAAAACTTTTTTTTTAAGCAAAAGTATCCCAATATTAACTTCCACACACAGTATTCTGCTGAAAAATGAATTATTATGGATAAAATAGTAAGAAATTTCAAATCAAAACCGCAACGACACAAAAGAAATGAAATCTAAAACCCATGAAAAAATGTAAAATGACCTATCATCTCAGTGCTTTAAAACCAGAAGAAATCCCCAAGACAACAGAAATACATAAAAGGAATGCAATTTAAATCTGATTCAACATCATCAAGAAGAAAGGTAGATCATTTTCCACTGAATTCCTCCTCCTGGGAAAACCACTGTGTTTCTGTTCATTTAAAATTAGCTGATGAACTATTTTAAATTATTTAATTGTAATAGTTCATAAATAATATATTTAATTATAATAAATCCAAAAATTCTGAATGCCCCCTCTATGCAGTCGCCTTCCTTTCATATGAAATAAAAAGTCACAAAAACAAGTTAAAATTCAATACCTAATGAAGCAAAAGTAAAATATATACTTTTTACTAAAATTAAAATTCAAATGAAGTCTTTCCTTTAGAATTACTGTCTTCTGTGCCTATGTTCGCCCCATAAAAAATTCAAACTTTTATTAATTTGGAAAAAAAGTTTGTTCTGAGTTAATTATAAATATACTGTTGTGTTTTCATTTGCATCTCATGCATTGAATTTAAGTTTGTTTTTGTGTATTTTTATTTCATATGAAAGAAGAGTGTCTTTGTAGAGGAGGCATTCAGAATTTTTGGATGAACTATTACAACTAAATAATTTAAAATGGTTTATCAGCTAATTTTGGATGAACAGAAACTCAGCGGTTTAGATAGGAGGAGAGATTTAATTGAATCTGATCTATCTCCTCATTATAACATTGAATCAGGTTTAAATTGTGTTAGTTTTCTATGTTTTTTTTTTATGTATTTCTCTTGTTTTCGGGACTTCTGGTTTTAAAACATTGAGTTGATGAGTTATTTTACATTTTTCATTCGGAGA